TTGGATGTCTTTCTTAATTTGCTGAAAGTTCTTATATATCATTCTTTTGAATTTCTTATCAGGTACTTCCAATACTATTTCTTCCTCCTGAAGATTTTCTGTCCCTATATTTTGTTCACTTGTTTGAGCCATCTTGTCCTGTTTTGTGTGTGTGATCTGAAATTGTCTATTATCTCTGAGACATTATCATGTTACTGTATGTATTTATTGAATGTGTGTTGGTTTGCTTCACCCTGCTTTTCTGTTTTGATTTTGTTTGAATATATCAAGGTAACAACTCAGGTGTGCTACTCTCATCATCAATTTGTCAGCACTGAGGCACTCACTCCCTGTCTCCTAGTGGATTTGGTTAACAGATGGGAGTGTATGCACAAGGCTCTGACCACTGATTCCATTAAGCAGCTGAGGGCAGGCTGAGCAGGTGTCGGTCACTGTCTTTTTAGTTGTTGTTGTTGTTGTGATTTGGGTAAAAGTTTACAGAGCAAATTCATCTTCCATACAGCACTTCACATACACTTTGTTTCATGACATTGACTGCAATCCCCTACAATGCAAGAGCTCTCCTCCCACTTCCTCCCAATAGCTACCTCTTCCCTGAATCCTTCCCTCTCATGCACTCCTGTCCTCCAAGCTATCTCCAAGTATATACACAGCCCTTCTATTCTCCCATAATTGAGCTCTTCAAGGAGTGTATCTACCTAATGTAAATGTTCAGCTCATATGCCTGTCTTCTGTTTGACTGGAACCCACAGGAGTGGGTTCAATTCCAGACCTGAAGAGGAGCTGGGGGCATAATCTAAGGGGTTCTACCAGGCTCTATCAGACCAGCAAATCTGGTCCATTTTTTTAATGATTTTTAGCTTTGTTCCACATTGTTCTCTCACTCTATCCAGGATCTCCTACATAGATGCCCCTCTGAATGGTTGATAGTAGTGGCCAGGCACCATCTAGTTCTTGTGGTCTCACAGTCACATTGGCTGAGGATCACATGGTGTACCAGTCCCCTGGACTAATTATTCCCATGCATCTTTGGTTTTCTTCATGCTTCTTTGCTCTGGATGAGGAGAGACCCATCTTTGCATCTAGATTGGTCACTGTCTTTCATCAATCCAGTAGTGCTGGAGCACATTAATAAAGCTTTAATAACACTCCCCAACTACAGAAATTCAATTTCATTATTTGGCCACCTAAATTCAGACTACAGTCTCAGGACTAACATAGTTTGATTAATAGAGTTTTTTTGGTTTTGTTTCATTTTCTTTTCTATGAACCAAGTCTATCTATTTTAGGGCTACTCTAAGGGCTAATATTTCTAAAATATTTTCATATCATTAACTGTAGGTATTGGTAATGTATTCCAACATATAATAGCAGTGGCTTGTTCAAAAAGGAGAATCTCAATGTAAATTTTAAGACTCAAATAAGAATGAAAGTGTATCTAATACAGATACCTCACATTCTCTGCACAACAATCTACCAATTCTCATTCTGTTTTTCTCAGAGAAACTTTTTCGGAAGCTCTTTTTTAACATAAATAAATTGGTATGACAAAGTCTTTAACCTGGAGTTAATAAAATGGTTTTCTATTTCCAGAGCAAAAATAGATGACTGGTCAGCTTGAGCTGTCTATAAAGTTAACCATCTGCCAACCTATTCAGTATCCTCCTAAGAAAACTCATGATCCTTCACACACTAATTAAATGAGTCAATGTTGTAATCATACTTTAGATAACTAATCTATTTCAATCCTTTTAATTTAATTATCTAAGTCTAGTAAATAAATTCCAACCTTAGTCCAAAATGATTAGAGGATTAAAGTTTAAACTCACTAAGTGCATACTGAAATAGATCCACTATAATGAAGTTCAAAATGGGTATATTCTTCCATTAAAAAGTCTGTTTATGACTGGGATCTTAAAAGCTAGCAAGCTGCCATCTAGATGCAACAATGGCTCTCTCCTCGTCAAGAAGAAAGAAGAAAACCAAAATTAATGGAAACAATCAGTCCTAGCGACTGGTACACCATC